ATATATATATATAATATTTTTCTCTTTCTGTTTTAAGCATACTACAATTGTAATTTTCATTGGCTAGCATTTGAGACTTTAAATCATTATTGATTGAATTTTCAAGTTAAGTTTTTCATGAGCTGTAATGTTTGGTATTCCAGTTTTTGCCTGATGATGTGGTCAGAACAGGGCCATGAAACGTTGTATCTAACATGATGCTAAATTAAATTGGCTATTCAATGAGAAAATGTTGGATGCTGACTGCCTATAATTACGTATTGGGATCCAGCCTTTAAAACAAATGAATTTCATTTCTGATTCATTTGGAGGTGACACAATGTTTGTGTTATATACAAGAAAGCCAGGGCAGATAAATAACAGTTCTTTGTCAATATGTTTATTTACAATCATCCAAAAATCCAGATAGCCGAAGTTCAGAATACAAAGCCAAGTGAAACATATACCAGAGGTCCCTTTCGCAGCGCAATAGTCAAAGATCACGTTCCTTTCCGTACAAAAGTCGCACGTCGTCAACAAAAACTTGTAAGTTTACAAGCACTCACTAAGGCAACAACTCCATTCTATCCCTGAAACAACTCTGCTCGCTTCCCGGTTCGGGGCCTATATACAGTGAATTCTGTCTACACCGGAACCTGTAAAAGCCGAAACCTGTCTTAACCGGAAATTTATTTCCGGCCTGTGACGTTAAATGGCATTTTACACAGCATAAAAGGTAACCTCTCTAACGCAGAAACGGAACGGTTCTACATGTTCAGCAGGAAAAAATCTTTATGAAACGTAATTTCTATGAATTTAATGCAATTGGCAGAGCGATGCGAGATGTTCTTATTGAATTGAATGTATCTGTAAGCTTGTTTTAAAATGTCTATCCATGCGGGACGTGGTTTAGTGTGACAGCCGGACATTGAAGGAGGCGAGCTTCAGCCGTCAGCGTAGAGCGCAGGGCGTCGGGGAATTCCCTTCCTCTCGACTCTCTGAGCGTGGCATGGCTTCTGTTCACGCGTCTCCCTTCCCCTCCACGGATACGCATTGCTCAAGGCCGTGTGAAGCTATCAGAAAATCATAGTACTGGGTTGTGACGCATTAGGGAGTTTTGTGCACGCCATAGCGGTCCGTACTATCGATCTTCTACGCATGCGCAGATGCGCTACGTGACGCAAACCTTGCGCATCGCATGCGCAGAAGTCGATTGTGCTTTAACGTTCCAGGGTGCACAAACTCCCTGTGTGCACAAACCCCCAGGGTGCACAAACTCCCAGACTGCAAACTGTCCGGGTCAGTAAGGTGTGTATTTTCCAACTCAGAAGCTGTCAATGAAGAATGTTTGACATCCATTTATTGGTGATTTCTTCCATAAATAAGTTATACGTTAATCTATTTTGGTAGTTAAAATAAATTCATTTAATTTACTACTTTTAGGGCAGAATCTTCGATATCACGAGTCATAAAATGGACAACCTTGCATAAAACGGAAACCTGCCTAAACCAGATTTGTTTGTGTCTCAATCGATTCCGGCGTAGACAGATTTTACTGTGTATCCCCCGAGCCCTCTGTGCGAGTCCACACGTTTCCCACCTGTGCGGCGGAAAAGGTGGGGGTGGTGTCTTCTGCTGGCGGTTCGCCGTCGCTCGCCCTGCTGCTGGTGGCGCCTTCCCGAACTGTTCACCGCACCTCTCATTCCCGCACAGTGTGCCGCTTGGCCCACCTTCACCGGCACAGTGCTGTGCATGCAGCAGTTTGTGATGTTTGGTGCGAACTGTAGGACTCCTTTTATTTATGTATTTTTACTGTACTTTACGGCTTCTGCGGCGTGAGTTCACGAGCACTGTTTCTTCCTAGCACGCCTAGGTCGTCTTCCATTTCCGAATCTAATGTAACTACATTACAATATGTTAGTACAAAAAGTTAGCCTAAACCTTTTTAAATTGGTTGTGAGTTGTGTCATTTGCGAATGTGTCTGTACAGTGGAGTTGAGGCGATGTGTGTGTGTGTTGCAGCGCTGTGGCTGGTGCTGCTGCCGGCGCTGGCGGCAGGGGTGGGGGCGGGGGCGGCGCCCCCTGCGCCCACACCTGCGCCTCCCGCGCCGCGCCGCCCCCGCCCCCGGCCCGCCCGCGCCCGCCCCGCGCCCGCCGCGCCGCCCGCGCCTCTCCCGCGCTGCCGCCTCTCCGAGTTCGCGTGCACCGCCGCCTGCGTGCCCGCCTCCAAGTACTGCGACCAGTCGCCCGACTGCGCCGACGGCTCCGACGAGCCCCGCGGCTGCTCGCGTGAGTCCCGCCTCCGCGCGCTCCACCGGGTTGCTCTGCATTAGCAAAAATTAAAACCCGAGCAAAGATAATTTCACACACAAATTGAAGGCCGTGTTCAGGTCATTGCATTCTGAAAGCATTCGAAACGGCGATATCATTACCTCATGCCTAGGGGAGAGGGGACTAGGGTGAACTGAGGGTTACTATGACAAATGCGGTTATTCCCCATGTAACGTACGTCATCTGTCAAAATGGCTTCGTAGATATTGGTCTTCCAGTTCTGTTTAAGCGGGCCACGTTTGACCAGTAGATCTTCAGTGGTCGATGTGCAACGCTGGAAAGTGCGTTTTGTGGTTGAATTCGAACATCTTTCGATTCCATTAAAAACATTTTTGGAAAGCCATTTTGCAGCGTTTTGTCAGCAGAATTGTTGCTGCTACACGCCACTGGTTGACAGTCGCGAATCAAGGGGGAGGGCCAACGATGAATTCTTGCGAAGTGGTTTCTCCATAACTTAATTTATGTATGGTGTTACTACAAGAAAGTTTATAATTACAACATTTATTATTAGAACTTTTATTATTAGAACTTTTATTATTAGAACTTTTATTATTAGAATCTTTCTTAATTATTTCGCTGGGTTCACCTTGCGTGGCTTGTCGGATGCATAGAAAGAAATCGAAACCAAGAGTACCCGCTTTGTGGAAACGTGCGTTCTTTGACAGGCCTGCCCATAAATATGTTGAAATCTTTTTGTAGTATCTGTGAATGCAGATAGCAATTGTGCAAGCGAAGGAAAATTCCAAATATAGGGAAAGGACCTCAGATACAGAAAATGTTTAAAAATTAGATGACTTTGCTATTCTCGTGTAGCTTGCAATATTTCAACCCAAACTGGCAGAAAATGCTTGTTACATGTTGCTAAGCACTTCTGTGTGTAGTTTTTAACTGTGTAAACGTTCCACGGGCTGCTGGAGCAGCGTGCAACCGCACCTACTACGGCGACGTGGGGCGCGCCTACGAGCTGGAGCTGCACCGGCCGCGCGAGGACCGCCTGCCCTTCGTGTGCCAGCTGTCCTTCGTGGCGGGCGGCGGTGACTACGGCGACCTCGTGCAGGTGAACTCCCCCTCCTCCCCGTCGCTCCCACCACCACACACGGGACAAGCTCTAAGCTCCCGATTCGAATGGTAGTACAGTGCATGTGAGTGTAAGGAAGGGGTGCGCATATAACAAGGAAAAGGATGGAAAGATCGCGCGCGGTCTGTGGCCCGTCTGTTAAGGTACTGAACCGGCATTCGCCTGGTGTTGATTGTAAACACCACGGAAAATTGGATCGATATCAGAGGAGCCGGCCGCTGCTATTCTCCTCCAAACAGCTGCTGGATTCGACCAAGCTATCTAGCTAATGTCGAAACTCCTGCCGCCGTCATGAACCTAGATCCTTCCGATTGAACCACCTAAACCGATTGAAAGGTAGTGGAATATAAAAGAAAATATCATTATCATTTAAGGGCAGGAAACCCAAAAATAATTTTATATTAATTGTATAAATTACATTTTATATTTGGAGGTATCACGTTTTGTTTCTAAGCAGAGTCATTTAAATAGTTTTGGAAGAAAATGCAGTTTGAGGAAGCATTCTCTCCCAGAGTTTTGAAGCTCAAATTTTAATTTCCGATGAAGATATCTCCGAAGTAGTGGTACCTATTTCTCTTTAACATTTTTGTTTTAAGAGCAATAGGCGCCCCACACTTTTATTAAAGAAAAATCACTTAAAAGATAATAGTGAGTGCTCTTTGTACTACAATCCGACTTCCATATCTGAATTGTCTGTTTTTATTTATATTTTATCTACGATTTTCTGAATTTATAGAACACTGTTTCTGAATTTGAAGCATTTTGTTTAGTGCCAGTAAAATTTTGAATACGATACGCCTAAGAGTTCAAAATACGTCAATTTCGCGAATGACCCAGTTAAGTGTCACATTATTCAAACAATTTGGAAATGCACTCATTTTTGCATGCAAACGATTTTAGATTATTGATTATATCAATGAATATTTTTGAGCTCATTGGCTAAATTGCGAATTTGCCACTTGTCATTAAATTAAGTAAGGTGGTTGTGTGTCTTATATGATCGTGAGGAGTATTGTGCAAAAAGTGCTTTGGGGATTCTGCTTTGCACACTCAAGGTCATTTTATGTAAATCACGGAGATCTAAGGTGGGATTCTCCTTGTCTCAATTCGGAAATGCTTAGAAAAACTGGCTGAATGAGGATGAGATATATTAGGTCAGTGTAAAAGGCATCGTGGTAATCCAGATTTAGGACTGAAACGGGAAAATGCCCACACTGACTGATAAGCCTGGCTTCCCGCCGCTCGCGCCAATGTATCAAAGTAGTAGCAGTAGCGGAGTGTGTGGTTGCAGCTGACGTTCGAGAGCTTCTCGCTGGGGCGGTTCGTGTCGTGGACGGCCGACGGCTGTCCGGACGGCGCGCTGTCCATCGCGGAGGCGGCGCGGCCGGCGGCGGGCGGCGCGTGGTGCGGCGCGGCGTGGGGCCCCTCGCGGGCCGTATACTTCAGCGAGACGAGCGCGCTGACGGTGAGCGTGCGCGTGGCGCGGCTGCCGCCCGCCGCCGCCGCCGCCGCCGCCTTCGACCTGCGCCTGGCCTTCCGCACGCTGCCGGCGCGCGCCGCGCTGCTGCGCTTCGGCGGCGGGCCCCGCCTCACCGGTGAGCAGCTTTCTCACGGGCACTCGCCAACAGCCGAGAGAAGACATGGCCATGGCCAAACAAACCGTATTCAAACAGTTCAGGCATATTAATGTTTGGTTTAATGATTGTTAATTGGAATATTATTAATAGTACAATCACAAAAATGTATGTTCAGTATTTAGTATTATTTTCTTGGCTCTTCACCGAATAGAACTCTTTTTACGGACGGTGTGAAGTTCTCGCCCCTCACCTTCCTCGTCGAAAGTCATTTTTCTTGCATTTTCGCTGTTTTCCCCCACCTCCTCAACATATGATGCGCCTGCAGCGGAGCTCCGCCACCGACCAAAACTATTCGAATCCATCGCAGAACCTCCTTTTGTTTGAAGCGTGTATGAGAGGCTTCCGTTTTTAGAATTCCTATCGTCCACCCACTTGGCCAGTGCTCCGCCCCGGCGACATGAAGTGGTATTCAGTCAGTGAAAATGATTTCGCTTTTTTCTGCCTTTAGCGTTTTTGGGAAAAATAAAACCATCTCCTGCGCCCCTAACTCAGAAACGCACGAGGGGGGTTGGGGTTGTTCCTAGGAGCCCTTACAACCGTCCATTACAGGTTACACGCGAATGTTGAAAACGAGACTGCGAATGTAAAATGTGGTAACTCAACGGATTTTGATTTTAGGGAGTACTGAACAAGAAGCCCCAACAATTTTTTTTCAAAAATGTGTCCACATATTTTCAATGAAACTTTGTTCCTCACGCATAACATTTTTCTAGTCTAATTTTCGATAAAATCTCTCAATTTTCGAAAATTGAAAACTTTCAAAATTGTTTGGCGTCTTTTAAAACTGAAGAAAGTTATTTTTCTGAAAATGTTTTTTCTTGAAAGATCTTTAAATACCATCAAGCACAATTTTTATTGTTATGAGTAGTTATGAGTAATTGTGAGTGATTTACGCGTAATTTTGCAGTAAATTTAAACATTTTAAAAAAGATTATTTCCTAAAAAACGGCTCAAAATTATTTTTTAAAATGTTTTCTCTTATGAAGCAAAGGATGGTAAAAATGACGCTGGTCAGAATTTCGGTGAATTGCAAAAAATTAATGTTGTAAAATACAATTTTTATGATTGTTTTTCTTAAATGAAATGTGATTTAAAACTATATATGTTTAGGACGTCATATTGAAATTTTTGAAAAAAGGAGTAGATATTTTGTCTTAAGTTAATGGAATGTATGAAAAAATCTTTAAAAACCGCTAATTGTTTCTTTACATTATTTCTTCGGCTAGAGTGAAGGACGCAAGAAATGGCGTAGGTCTTATGTTCGTGGGAGTCTGGATTTCAAACATTTCGTTAGTAATATTGGAACTAGTATCGTTTTACGCGTCGACAAAGCTGAGTATAGCCGCTTGTGTGGTGTTTTAGCGGTAACGTTCGTGATGAGCTATCGCGAAAGACTTGAGATCTAATACGGCGCGGAGAAATAAATTTCGCTTGTTGGACCCACTTCAACAGGTATGTGCGGTCATTGCATGACTAGTTTTTTAAATAAAACTATATAGTTATTTTTATCAAAGTAGTAGCAGTCTGTCACCTTATTGGAGAGGAAATGAGTGTCCCTGTCGGAATGACAATTCTCTAAACAAATTTTGAGAAGTTGTTTTTGGAAGTTTCTCAATTTAGATGAGAACTGCATAATAGCATTTGATTCAAACTGCACCCGTAGGCATCCTGGACCCGCCGCCGCCGCCGTCGCCGCCGCCGTCGCCGCCGCCGTCGCCGCCCGCCAACGCGAGCGAGGGCGAGGCCCCGCGCCCGCCGCCGCCCCCGGGCGCCGAGGGCGAGGACGCGGGCGAGGGCGCGGGCGAGGGCGCGCAGGAGCCCGTCTACTACCTGGGGGAGCTCATCCAGGGCACATACTGCTCGCGCATCTTCAGCGACTGCGACCGGCGCGCCTGCCGCCTGCAGTCGCCCAACTTCCCCGGCGTCTACCCGCGCAACCTCACCTGCTACTACGCCGTGCGCCAGCACGAGGTGCGAACCACACGATTAACATTTCTTCAAAATCTGATAAACGACTTTTATTGTGCATTGCTCTGAACCTTTCAGCCCCACCTTTATACTCTTCTATCCTCTTTAAGTATCAAACTAGCGGTGATACAACAATAGATATTTTTTCGAATTTGTAACGGTTACGAAATATTTCAATATCACCAATTATTTTCATAGTGACAAACCTCACTCTTCATTTGTAAAACTCGTCTTCAATTGTACCTCATTAGGTGCGAGAACTAAAATTTAATTTTGAAACTAATATATCAACTCAATTTGACAATGGAAAACTGCTGTTCAGCACACAGGGAAAAAATATTACAAGGGAAAGTACTCTAAGGGTGGCACCTTTCCAAAAATTTCGGTACGGATAGTTCAGTATAGGTATTTTGGGGGATGGAATGAAGCGAAATTAACACAGTTAATTGCATCTTTTTGCACCTTTGCGTGAAATTATTACATTTACCTCCTTTTCCCTCACTTTTTTATGCTTCAGAACCTTTTTCTCCCCTCTTATCTCTGTTTTTACACGATTGAACAGAAAAATGTACTTTTTTTTATTTTTGAACTCTTTAACATATCATTCACCAATATAACTTATGTAAACTACCAGTTATTTATATTCCCGCAACATTGGCCAATATGTGACTGTGAGTCAAATTTAAATTTCAACACTGTTGTTGCAACAGTTTCAAATCAGTTCAGTTAGACAGGCAATTATTTAAGCTTCTATCTACCGACTCTGTGTCAGTGCTTTACTAGTCTGAACCACATTATTAAAACTTGATGTCCACAAAAATAACATGGCAACGATTAAGAAGGATAATTTGTAAGCACTTGCAGAATAATTCAATCGCGACCGTTGGCATGATTCTTCCATGTTCCTTCTGCGAAGAAAACATTCCAATCAATGACAAGTATAAAGAGAATGAACCAGCACATCCAGATTAGCAAACGCAGGATAAACGTTGAACTTCGCAAGCCGAAATCTAACCTACCAACTACCTTGACAAGTGCATCCGCTTCAGGATCTGAAAAGCAGATGTCATTGAGTGAGTTCACTGCGGATCTTACCATGGAATTAATTCAGCCGGGCATTCCACTACCTGATCCTTCCAAGCAGAGCCCATCTGCAAGTGACGTGCGTGTGCCGCAGGTGCCACCTGGGCAGCAGGCGCTGATCGCTGTGCGACAGCCGCGTGGGCAGCTCGTGGCCATCCGCAGCGCGGGCGGAGCGGCTGGCGCGGGCGGGACGGGCGGCGCGGGCGCGGCGGACGACGCGCCGTCGACGGAGCGGCGCAGCGCGCGAGGCCTCAAGGTACAGCACAAGGCAGAATGCGAGTTGTTGCTGTAGAATCCATGCTCTCACCCAACAGTGTTGCAAGAACTATGCAGACTGCACCTGGGAAGGGGAGCTTTCCAATCTTATGTTCTGTACGTCACTCACATATTAATATTTTAGATATTGATGAGTTTGTACCCGAAACAAATTAGCTTGCAATTCACAATAGCTACACGTGAGGGTAGAGGCCAACTCGCCTCCAAACGCCCGCGTGTGCGGCGTGCGCAGGTGTGGCAGGAGTGCGACGAGGTGCAGGACTACGTGACGGTGTTCGACGGCTACACGACGCGCGACGCCGTGCTGCTGCGCTTCTGCGGAGGCGGCGAGGCGGTGCCCGAGGCGGTGAGCAGCGGCCCCGAGCTCCTCGTCGAGTTCACCTCCGCGCCCTTCGGCACCTTCGTGGGGCCGTCCGCCTCCGCGCTGCACGGCTTTCAGCTCGAGGTGCAGGTGAGCCCGCCTGCGCCGTTGTGTCCCGACCTCTTACTCCTTCGACTAGGGGTTCGGCGCAGTTAGTAACCGAGGTTCCCGCTCTCCGTTTATTTCTGCCGTAAATTTCGGTTTGTTTCGTCGTATACTGCGTTATCTACGGAGTTACATAAGGACGGGCTTGCGGTTACATTTGATGGAATATTTGAATTGAGGTCCTGCACCGCGTACTGTAAAGAGCGTCATTTGGGCAAAACAATCTCTAGCGACATGTGGAGTTCATCACTTTGTGCAATCTCTTGCCTAGCTCTCTCATTTAGAATTAAGGAAACACTAAACAAAACACACGCAAGTGCTGTCGCTTCTAAGTGCTAATATCGATTTAGCTGAGAGTGCTAGATCATTATACTGTTGGTCAGAGTTTATTCATGGCTTGCGTAAATTCGAATCTTCATCGAAAACCGTGCTGAGCTGCTGCATGCTGGTGTGAGGGAGAGGCCGGAGTAAAGCAGACGGTAGTTTATCTGGGACGGCCACATGCAGCTCTGTTCTAATGCTTTTGGCACATTTTATAGCAAAGGTATGCTCGTATAACCGACTGTTAGACGCACAACAGTTTTAGCCCTAAAGGTTGCACATACATGCTACCGAAGTGCTCCAACAGTGCGCGCGCGGACGCACCGACAGTGGGCGAGTGCTATGCGCGCAAAAGTAAACTGTGTGTGAGGAGATAAGAATAAACTGTTCCGTATAGAGCAAACAATCATTTGTAAAGTGTTTTATATAAATACTTTTTAATAAATGAATAAATTGTTTAGACCTGATCTCTATTCACACTACACATACATACTACTCAAACAGTGAGTAAATTCTACAATACCTAGATTAATGCAACGAGAAAATATTTAATAATAAAATAAACTCAAAAATACTGAGCAAACGTATTGTTACCGGCTAAATATGACTATGATATATGGAGTATACTCCATTACACGTCGATGGCGCACTGCAAGCAGCCCCTCGGGATGGGCTTCTGAAGCGATCGACTAAAGCGGAAATGCCGAATTCCAAGCTGCCGCCAGTCCCAAACGCGAACAGGGTATGAAGTGGACGGCAAGGCCGATGGCAAGGTCGATGGAATGTGTGGCCAACAGGTGTCTCGGGTTGCGGACGTCCGGATGTCGGGCGACAATGGAGCGTACATGGGAGTCGTGCTCGCTCGTGGTTGTAATTGAGCCCAGTGGACTCACGTGCTTTATGATCGAAACAACGTTCGACCAAACGTGCCGATTTCACGATAGGGCAAGTAAAAGTTGGTCGATTCTGGATGGATTTCAGTCGATGTCTGCTTGAGACTTGCTCATCTGAAGGCAAAATCTTTCTGCCTCGTGTAAATCTTTTCTTCCTTGATGTCTCAATTTTTTCATCTCCTCATTGATCCGCGCGCCAGTACCACCATCCCTCCTGTTTCGCGACTCCACGACCACCACATGATCGCAATTCAGGTTCGCATTTGTTATTTAAACTTACTTTGAGAACATTCTATAAAACTTGTGAGATTTTTGGATAGCTGCGTCCCTCTCGCTTCTTGACATTGATAGAAAACATCTAATTGGATTTTTTCTTGCTTTTGTTTCTTTATACGCGTGAGAGAAACGTGTAAGTCGCACATGGATTGCTCACCACTCTTGCGCATTGCAAATTGCGTTAAAATGGAACTCAGTGTTCCCGGCTTTCCCCGTCTGCGGAGCATTGTTTCTCGACGGGCGACGCCCTTCGCTGCGGGGAGCGGGACGCCAAGGGGACGGGGCGAGGGCGGCGCGTCCGCGCATCGCAATGCGCTTACAAGCGGACGTCGGGCGGCGAAAGGGCTTGTGAAGGGGGATGTGGAGCTGAAGGAGCGCCATTTGCGGAAGGCGCGATGAGCGTCGTGCGTTTGTCCTGGAAGAGTATATTCGTAACGACGGTTCTGTGATTTCTATTCTCTTATGGATAGAAAAAGTTATGTGCTGCAGAAAAAGCGCCTGGCCGACCTGGGACCGCAACAACGCCTCGAAATATGGCGCGTGTGAAAGTACCCGCGCGCAATCTGCAAAGCGTGCCGCCTTTAAACCTGCAGCAGCGCTGGGATTGTCTGATAGGAATCCTGCTCTGAGATCTTCACATGCACCCTTACAGAATTATGGCTACCCAATAATTAAGTGGGAGAGATTTTTAGACTCGCAGAGGTCTAAGAGGGGAAATTCTTCGGAACATTCATACTGGCGCTGTTTTGTTTTCGCGCGATGAGATTCATTTGCACTTGTCAGGAACTGTAAACAAAATTTCCGTCACTGAGCGTCAGATATTTCTCAGCCCCCAGACCGTTTCTCATCCTTCGTGTGGCAGTTTGCTCCACCCTTGCCGAATTTGGTCTGTGAGGACCGTACGTTTTAATAACATGGGATAACGTGAGCGCTTATTTCAAATCGCTACTGACACACAATATGGCATAAGTTAAACCAAATTTTGGAGACCTTGAAAAGGGAGAAGTTTGGTTCCCACAAAACGGAGCCACAGCTCCCACATCGCGGCGTTCTGTAGCAGTTTAGAAAGAGTTGTTTCCTGGATGGCTTCTCTCTTTGCGAGAAGGCATCGCCTTGACCCCACGATTTATCACCTTGTGATTTCTTTCTTTTGGTACAGTTAAAGGTGCAAGAGAGCAAACATCGCCCCAGGCGATCAGCCACTGCGAGGAGATTGTTTGAACGCTCTGTGCATAGGTTGTGCTGATAATTCAGAATGGTTCTAGGGAATTGTGCGAGAGGCGTAGATAATTGAGTGGCAAGCTGCGCACTTCCCCGAAGTGAGCGGGCGTGTGGGCGCAGGTGCGGTTCGTGCCGGCGCAGTCGGCCACGTACGCGGCGCATAAGCGCTGCGCCTTCTGGCTGCGCGGCCCGGGGCGCGGGGTGCTGGAGGCGCCGCGCCACTCGCTGCCCAACCGGGGCGCCACTGCTCTACCCACTGCTGGCACGCGCCCGCGCCGGCCCCGCTGCGCCGCGCAGGCGCAGCCCCGCGCCGCCGGCCAGCTGCGCGCCCGCGCCCGCTTCCGCATCTGGCCTGTCCGGTGCTCAGTTTTCAGTGGCGAGCGCCGCGGCGCGCGGGGGGCGCGACGCGGACGAACGCCGAGACCAGCCGGCGCCGAGGACTGTGCTCCTCGGCGCGCTGCTGCTGGGACCGGGTCGCTGGCGGGCGCCGCCTGCCGCACCTCTGAATCGACGTCTTCTGGTGATGCGCTTATGCGCGTCCGCTCTGAGAGCGAAGCCTTCGGCTTGCTCGACGCAGCAGTGTCAATACTTATCTAGTTAGTACGGGAGAAAAGGCAACGCGCGTGAGTGTTTTGGCGTTTGCAAACGAGGCCTACGATAATTCGTACACTCTTTACCTAGATTTCGATGAGCAGCGAAGAGATCGACTACGACAACTGAACAAATATGTGTTTGACTGCGAGAGAATGCGACACGTCGTCCTGGTAAATATGTTCACAATATGTTTCTGCCGAGCTAGGATTGCCGGGGGGGTTGCCGCAAATGGTATAGAAAGACAATTTGAAGCGGCTCTGAGTGGATCATCAGGTATGAGTAGTTGGGTGAAAATATGTCAATGTGTGAATGGTCGGCAGAAGATGCAGAGGGGAGTCGCAATAACCCAGGCTAGGTGGATTGAATAAACAAAACAGCGATTGTTCAAGGCATTGAAGATGGGTATTCAGTTATGTCAAGATAAAAGTTTAGGGGAATGAAACACTGCTTACACTGCTTAATTTCTATCATTCGAACATTAACATTGTGAGAGATTTCAACTTTCCGTTTTCGGAGCATCTTATTCAAGATTACATTATTTTGAAAGATCATGTTGAGAGGAAGCCAATTGTGTTCCACGTATAAGAAAAGTTCTGTGCGCTTGGAGAGATACCATCCGTCCTTGCAGCTGGCTCTCGAGGAACACTGTACTATTTACAATGATACTTCGATGCATGCTTGCGGTGGCTGGGATGCCATGCGAGCGAGTAAACACTTTCTAGAACGTATTGTCCCGTATGCGTTTTGCCCCTAATTCGCGCGTCTGCACTCAATGCATGGAAACTTGCTAAAATGAATCGCTCGTTGTGTGCAATTTTCCCAACCTTCCTTCTTTTCTACGTCACGCGCGCAGGCGATATCCGTCCCTCTATAGAAGTGATTCGCAGGTGTAATCTATTTGTCGACCTGCAGCTGTCTGAGATTAACACTCGTTCTACGTTCACCTTCGTTGCTGTGCAAATTAATGTTTTTTGGCGGAGAAGTAGACGGTTTCGCCAAAGATTGGATCGTCTGGGATGGGAGGATTGACTAAATGTCACTTTGTGAAGGCAGCGGCTCCTTGGACCTCAAAAGAGCATAAAATTCTTGCTCGGAAGAGCACCAATCATTGGAGTACATGGCAATTTCTTCGTAATCTTCCCGGACACTTGGATAGAGGGGCAGATCATTTATAAAGTGATCTCACTAATAACACATCAAAAGTTTAATAAAATACCTCCAGAATGACAAAACATGCTCCAGAATCACGCATCAAACGCAATAACACACACCCTATACCTTCCGTAGATATTCGAGTGAGCAGGTGGTTTGGACTGACACCGAGACGTGTGCGTGTGGTGGTGTGTCTTGCAGCGAGCACGAAAAGGATAAGCGTGTGCGTTCTCCCGGAGGCGCCGGCGTACAGACGGCGAAGGCGGCGACGCGAGCGCGCAGCGGACAGACCGCCGCGCGCGCGCGCGCCGCACTGTGTGTCTCTAGCGGCGGCGGAGGCGGAGCCCACCTGGGGCTGCAGGCGGGCCTGGGCCCCGGGGCCGGAAGGGGCGCGCGTCACAGCCGACGCTTTCTCGCGCGCTCTGCCGCGGGGGGGCGCGTCGCGCACCGCACGCTGCGCTGTGCGACCGACGGCTCCTGGCGGGCGGACGGCGCGCGCGGCCCTGCTGCGGCGCTCGACGCATGAGCGTTCCTCCGGTCGTCGGCGACGCCGTGATGACCAGTGGAGGCTGCGCCTTGCTCCGAGGCCACGACCTCAGGTGAGGCGCCCTGCGGGGTAGGCGCCAAGCTTCGCACTCTAGAGCATTACGTCCCGTGGGAGCTGCGCTCTCCGAGGCACGCCCTCAGGTGAAGGCGCCACTGGCTGGGTAGCGCCACGACTCAGTTCGTTCGCACAGGCATTCGACCGTAGGAGCTGGCGCTCTTAACGAGGCACCGCCCCTCAGGGTGAGGCGCCATCGGGGTAGCGCACACAAGCTCTCGCACTTCAAGCATTACGTCTACGTGGAGCTGCGCCTTCCGAGGCCAACGCTCAGTGACGGCGCCGGACTGGAGGGGCTAGCGGACACAGCTTCGCAGTCTAGGATTAGTCACTAGTGAAGCTGCGGCCTTCCGAGGCCGAACGCGCCAGGCTGTAGGCGCCAACTCGGGTAAGGCACCACAGCTTCGACTCTAGCATTATCGGTCACGACGGTGGAGCTGCGCCTCTCCGAGGCACGGCTCCGGGTGAGAGCCCATCGGGGTAGCGGCACACAAGCTTCGCACTCTAGCATATTACGTCACCGTGGAGCTGCGCCTCTCCGAGCACCGCCCTTCAAGGTGAGGCGCCCTATCGGGGTAGCGCACACACAGCTTCGCACTCGAGCAATTAGGTCACCGTGGAGCTGCGCCTCTCCGAGGCCGACCGGCCTCAGGTGAGGCGCGACTCGGGTAGCGCACACGAGCTTGCGCACTTCTAAGCATTACGTCAGCCGTGGGAGCTGCGCCTCTCCGAGGCCACCGCCGTCAGTGAGGCGCCACTCGGGGTAATGCAGCACATCAGCTTCGCACTTTCCTAGACATTACGGTCACCGTGGGACTGCTGCGCCTCATGCGGAGCCACGGCCTCAGGTGTGAGGCGCATGGGTAGCGCACACATCGTCTTCGCACTCTGTAGCATTAGTCACCGTGGAGCTGGCGCTCTCGAGGCGCACCTGCCTCAGGGTTGAGGCGGCGCACATCGCGGTGAGGCACACAGCTTGCCTCTAGCATTACGTGTCACCTATGCTAGGAGTGGCCTCTCGAGCACACGCCCCTCAGGTGAGGGCCACTCGGGGATCTAGCGCACGACCTTCGACTTCTAGCATTACGTTATTACGTCACTATCTAGCTCTTACGTCATTACGCTCGCTACTAGCGCTTACAACTTACGAGTGCTTCCGCTAACGTTATTTCGCTCTATATTTTTTTACGACAAATACGCACATATTCGTTAATTTTTACATTGTCGGTGATATGTATACGTATATGCGATTGCGAGTACATGGTCTTTAAATTATGCATGCAGTTTCTCGAAAATAAAGATGTTGTATGTAAAATTAGGTTCCAATTTTGCATTTTCAGAAACGTCATTTTCTCGTCAAGAGCTCTAAATTTTTGCTAGTGCTAGAGTGTGCTAAATCTATTGAACAAGATGCCATAAGCGACGTTTTGTTGTGTTCAAAACTTTTAGAAATGATTTCTTTTACGTGTCTCTGTAATTCTGTAGCACTAATAATTTTTTGTTAATTTTTGTTATTTTTTCTTTTCTTGTTATTGATGTATTTATCATTGAGAAAAACAAAATCGTATGGAGGCGGAAAAGTCAGGAAGTATAGCGAGTTTTTTAAGTAAGATGTTAATCATAACTGTGTTGATGACAGAAACGTTTTTTGTAACATCAGGCAAGGATGATAAATTTTTAGTAGAGTATTTGTAATAGTAGAAAGTGCACCAGCAATTATATCGTGTTTTTATGTTACAATGCAACAGTTGAACGGAGAGGCACATGCAGTTTGTGTTTCTTCCCATAACTTTTTATTCTTGGTGATGTTTCTCGAAATCGAGGCAAAGCGAAATTCAAACCGATGTTTTTTTTTTGAAGGGGATACTTCACATAATGCCTCAACATTTTGAAAATATTCTTAAAAATTACTTCAAATTTTTCTTTGTTTTTATCTGATAGATCAAAAGACCTTTAAAGAAATCGTACTGGGGGCATTTTCGTTGAGTTTGCTCAATTTCCGAAAATTGCAAAACTTCTCATTTTTTCGGACTCTTCGGAATTTTGTGTGAATCAAAAGACATTTTAAACAATTATTTTCTCCAAATTAGCTCTAATTTTTTACTTTCTCGTCTTATTAATTCTTGTAAGAAGAGAGAGTTATGTAGTTGTGTGCCAGAAAAGAGCCAATTTTCGCCAGAAAAACTTATTCCCGGGCTCTGGTAACGAAAAAATGGATAAAACCTAATGTTAAATTTAGAAAAACTAGTGGTGCTACAAAATGGCACAGACATTCCCATATTAGTTTTATATTTCTTTTGGTCTCATCTAGCTATTCGGACTTGCCACATACTCTTGTCAGGTGCCATCTATTGACGCCCAAAGTGCATTTGTTGACATTTTCTTAATTTTTCGGTTTCCTAATAGAACAGAAATATTATTTTTAAAATATTAAAGAACAGTAATATCTTGTCCTAAATGGCAATTTTCTTTGTAAAACTTGATGCTGCTTTTAAGAATATGGCGTTTAAGCGCTACTGTAAATTCGAAATTTGAATTTATTATTCACAGAAACTTTTTGAGGTTTGAAAATCTTCATTAGATGTCATTTGAAGCACATTAACTCACAAATACAATCGTGTTTACTAAAAACGTTGTGAGAGATCTTTCAGAAAACTAGATTTGTGAAATTTTTGAAAAAACAAAAGAATACAGCACTATGCGTACGAAAAAATTGAAGAAACATTTGGAGCTGTTTTTGAGAAAATAGCGTTGCAGCGTTGCGGAAAATTCGGAATTGTGAGCTTGTTTTCATAGAAAACGGTTGAGTTTTCGAGAAACTTTATAGAAAATTATTTTAAGTTCGTGTACTCATTAATATGATAATGTGACAAATTACCGCGTATATAAATATTAATAACGCGCGAGAGAAGTAAAGCACATTTTTTAATTTAAAAAAACAAACAAAAGTTTAGAAAAATATGGCGTTTATGTCATATTATAGAGTTTAGTTACCACTATCCCTACTAAA